GTTTTAGATTATTATTAATAAAGCTTATATGAACATTTGTATACAGATATTTGTACGAACATAAGTGTTCATTTCTTTGGGATATATGCCAAATAGCGCAATTTCTGGGTTGTATGGTAAGCCATGTTTAGTTTTCTAAGAAGGTGCTGCCCTCTTTATCAGAGCGGCTGTACCATTTTCCATTCCCACTAGCCATGTATGAGTGATCCAGTTTCTCCACATCTTTGCAAACATTAGGTGTTTGTACTCTTGTCTTTTATTATAGCTATTCTGGTATTCAAATGTTGAACCAGCCTTTCACACTTAGAATAAATCCCACTTGGTTATGGTGTATAATTACTTTTATATATTGCTGGATTAGATTTGCTAATATTTTATTGAGGACTTTTTGTGTTTAAGTTCATGAGAGATATTGTTCTACAGTTTTTCTTTTTCTTTTCTTTTTCTTGTTACTGTCTTTGGTTTTGGTATCTGGGTAATATTAGCATCATAAAATGAGTTGGAGAGTGTTCCCATCTGCTATTTTCTGGAAAAGATTATGTAAAATTGGTGTTAATTCTTCTGTAAATGTTTGGTAGAATTCCCAGTGAAACCATTCAGGAGCTTTTTAATTACAAATTCATTTTTTTCAGTGCTTATAGGACTATTTAGGTTGCCTGTTTTATTGAGGTTGAGTATGGTAGTTTGTGGATTTGGAGGAACTGGTCCCCTTCTAAGTTTTCAAATTTATGAGCATACAGTTCATAGTATTCCTTTATTATCCTTTTAATGCCTTCAGGATCTGAAATAATATCCGATGTTTTATTTCTTATATTGATGATATGTGTCTTCTCTCTTTTTTCCTCTTTGTCAGTCTTGCTAAAGGTTTATCAGTTTTTATCAATTTCTTAAGAAGAACTTTCTGTTTCATTGATTTTCTGTCTTATGTACCTGTTTTTAATTTCATTGATTTCTGCTCATATCTTTATTTTTTCCCTTCCTCTGCTTCCTTTGGGTTTATTTTGTTCTTCTATTTCTAATTTCTTGCTTTTACCCATTCTGATGTTCTTCTTTCCGTTTTGAAGTTCCAAGCCTTCTTCTCCTATCATCTTTGCTATTTAGAGAAACTTCTTTAGCCATTCTTTAAAGGTAGGTTTGCTAGTAACAAATTTTCTTAGTTTCCTTTGACCAAGAATGCCTTTACTTCCTCTTAATTCCTGAATGATATTTTCACTTGATATAGAATTCACAATTGACAGATCTTTTCTTTCACTACTTGAAAAATATTGTGCTATTTCCTGCTGGCCTCCATGGTTTCCTTTAAGAAATACCCTGTGATTCAAATTGGTATTCCACTATAAGTAATGCATTATTTCTCTCTGGCTGCTTTCATGATTTCTTTTTTTTTTCTTTTTGGTTTTCAAAACTTTTCAGAAGTTTTGTGTCTTGACATGAATTTTGTTAGGTTTATCCCTGTTTGAGTTTCACTCAGTTTCTTGAGTCTTCTTGAATTCACCACATTTGGGAAGTTTTCAGCCATTATTTCCTCAAAAATATTTTCAGTTCCATTCTCTCTCTCTCTTTTCTGCTATCCCATGATACAAATGTTAGATCTTTTGTTATTACTCCATTAGTCTCTGAGACTGTTCATTCTTTTCTCTTGTTGTTCAGATTGGGAAAATTCTATTGATGTGTCCTCAAATTCACAGATTTTTGCTTCTGTCATCTCCATTCTTTTTATTATTGTATTTTTCAGTTCTGTAATCTCTATTTGGTTTTCTCATATAACTTGTATTTCTTTGCTGATATTTTCTATATTTTTTTATTTGTTTGAAGAGAATTTGTAACTGCCTGTTGAAGCATTTTTATGATGGTTACTTTAAAATTCTTGTCATATCATTCCATCATCTGATTCATTTCCATGTTGGTGTCTGTTGATGGTCTTTTCTCATTCATGTTGTGATTTTCCGGTTCTTGGTATGATGAGTGACTTTTTGATTGTATCCTGAAAACTTTGGATACTATATCAGTAGACTCTGGATCCTATTAATTCTTTTTTTTTTTTTAAACAATCAGTCCCCTGGTTGAGTTGTAGCAGGAGGGCTGAGTGGTGTATATGTTCAGCTTCCCTCTGGTGCCCGATGATACTACCCCAGCAAAAGTAGGCAGTGACTCCACTGCCATATTTTAGATATGTGGGCTGGAAGTTCAGCTCCCACCTTGGCTCCATGGACACCTTCCCAGTGAAAATAGGGCACTGACTCATGACATCTCATTGCCTCCTAGTGTGGATGTAAGCTCAGCTCCCCGCTGGTTCCCACTGACATTAATGAGGGGTAAAGCCAAGGGTTGACTCACTGCTTTTTTGCTACAGGGTAGGGGCAGTAGCTTGGCTTTGTGCTGAGCCCCTCAAACATACAGGGAGAGGAAGGGGAAAGTGGAATGCCAACAAACCTCACCTCTCACCACCTCCTTCTGCCTTGTTGATGCCTGGTAGGGATGGAGGTTCATCTCCTGACTGGGTCCCACTGATACTAGGGGAGGGAGAAAGCAAAGTTTGGGTTAGCTCACCTCTCACCACCTCATTCAGCCTCATCATTAATGTTGGGTGGTACTGGAGGCCCACCTCTCCACTGGGACCTGCTGATGGAAGCAGACGGGAGAGAAAAGGAATGCCTGCTAGCCCTGTTTCACACCACCTTATTCAATCTTGTTGCTACTGGGTTGCTGTGGAGATTCAGCTTCCTACTGGACCATGCTGACACAAGAAGCAGGAGAATAGTGGATGGTGTAGCACTGACTAGACCTGATTAGCACCACCTTGTCCAGTGTCATTGATGCCAGATGGGGGTGGATACTTAGTTCCCCACTGCTGGGCCCTGCTAACACTTGGGATGGGGGGAGATCAGAGTACTGACTAGTTTCATTTCTCACTGCCTCGTTAAGTCCCCCTACTACCCAGTGGGGGTGGAGGCTCAGCTCACTGCTGGATCTGCTGATACTACCCTGTGGGGGGGGAATCAGAGCACTGCCTGCTTCCTTGCACGGGGATAGAAGCTCAGCTCTCTGCTCAGCCCCATCAGTACCCCTGCAGGGAAATTAGAACACCACCTGCTTCTTCCAGTGGGGCTTGGAAGATCCCACATAAGGAGACGTGCTTTTTTTCTGTTGGTTGGTTGGAGTAGTGCCGGTGTTGCCAAAAGAGTTTTCTGTTGTTTTGCCATCCTTTTTCTGGTCCCTCAACTAGGGGTATCCAGCTTTTCTTGAAGCTTTTTCTTTTATCTGTACCTGTTGGCAATTCTTGGTTTGAGGTTTCTACCGGGCCCTATCTGGGATATAATGGAGGCAGTAAGGAAACCCAGGGATCTCCCCTGCGTTGTCATGTTTCAGGTCCCTGGGAAGTTTGACTTCTTTCCACCTTTCAGAGTCTTCCTAAGCTTGTTTGTTGTGTTATAGCCAGGCTTTCTTAGTTGTAAAGGGAAAGCCCTGGGAGGAATGAGGCACTCCATCTTGGCCCAAACCAGAAGTTCCTTGTATTTCTTTTTAATATGGGAGTAGAGAAAGCTTTTTGAACTGACTCAACATTTAGAATCAATCAATAAAAGATTAATACATTTTCTTACATTAAAAACACATAGTCATAATCAAATGTAAACCTGGAGAAAATATTTGACATGTATATGACAGACAAAAGATTAATTTCCCTAATAAATAAAGAGATCTTAACAATGAAGACAAAACAGTCTAAAATCTTGATAGAAAAAATTGTCAAATGGCAGAGTTCGCAGAGAAATGCAAATGAACATTTGAAAAGATGCTTACTTTCACTCATAATAATAGGAATGCCAATTAAAACTACACTGTTACCATTTTACCAAAATCACATTGGCTAAAATCCTCAAGTTTGACAGAACACACTGTTGACAGGCCTGTGAAGAAACAAGTACTCTCATACATTGCTGGTGGGAGTGCAACATGGTACAATTCCCAAGGAAGGGAATTTGGTTTATCTAACAAAATTACACTTACCCCTTGACTTAGCAATCTCACTGCTAGGAATTTACCTGGTAGGTATGCTTCTATAATTATGAAATAATAAATGCACAAGGTTATTTATTGTGGCATTATGTTTAATAATGAAGAGTGGAACTCTGAAATGTCCACCAATAAAGGACCTATTGAATAAACAAAGGTATAGCCTCATAATGAAGTATTATACAATTGTATAAAAAGAATGAGAAGTTGACTATGTACTGATATGGAGGTTATTTTGCTAAAAAGATGTGCAGAGCATTTATATAGTGTTTTATCTTTTGTATATAAAAGAAAGGAAGTAAGAATATGTGTATATGTTTGCTCTCCCCTCCCCCCAAATACCAGAAACTAATAGAAACAGTTACCTGTAGAGAGCTTGGGAAGGGGCTGAAGAGGAGAGAATAGGAATTGGAGAGAGATTTCCCTGAGTATGCCTTTTTATATAGCTTGACTTTTGAAATATATAAATGTTTAACTTCCAAAAAATGCAATGAAATAAAAAAGAAGACAAAGCAAAGCCTAAAATTGGAAAGAAACGAATAAACCTGACTCTATATCAAAGGTAACAGAATTGCTCAGAGACAAGAATTATTTCAAATAATTTATGAACATAGTATTTCAACTGTACTGAAGTCAAAAAGAAGTGAAAAGAATCTTAAATGTTACTTTGTAGTTTTATTGTTAGTGGTAACATTGGTATTGAAATTTTGAAACTCATGTAGGTGTATGTTTGTATTATAGATAAAGCAAATAAGTAATTATGTTAATTATATATAGAACTAAAATCTTCAGTATAATAGGAAATAAATACATGTATAAAATAACTTTTGAAAAAGCCTTATAATGTTAAATTTGAATGGAAAATATCAGTATGATCTCATGATTAATATATATCATATATATCAAGCATGATATCATGATTAATATATATATAATATATAAGTTATTATATATATAAAAATATAAAGCGTATATGTATTTTTCAGGACCAGCGACATAATTTGTGTGGCCCAGTGCAAAACGAAAACGTGGGGCTATTTGTTCGAAAACCAGGAATAAAGTGCCATTAAAGGTAAAACATAAAGGCTTTTCCTTTCTTCTACAGTCTCTCACTCACTCAACTTGTCATGGTGTTTTTTATTTGCCCATTTAATGGTGTTCTAAGTAAAGAAAAATTAAAAATTTAAATTATTAGCATGAATTTTACCCTTAGTCTTTATATTGTACAATGTCAGTTTTAAAAGCAAATGTAAGAGCATTTGACTTGCATGTGGAATAGCTGAAACGTCACAATTTGTATTTTGTGACTTATCCTGGAGACTGTCTTGAGCTGGCCGGAAGAGACTAACACAAACCAGATTTAGGAAATGCGAAGGAGGAAGAAAAGGTATCCCTTTGCATGGGATACTCAGGAGGCAAGTACAGATGCTCCCAGGGGCCCTGCCCTATGACAATGGGGCATGACTAATGTGATATGATGTACACCCCGGGCCAGGGGCAGGGAAGTCAAGCCAGCCATTTCCCCTTCCTATGGGCCTGCTGCTCCAACTCAACAGCTAATGGGAGACCTCCAAGCATATTGGAACTTTAGTGCTGGGATACACTAGTGATCTGGATTGGTGGTGGGGGAGAGGCTATCCTTGCTTGGTCACCTGCTAAATGTGATGTGGCACTGCTAACCTGGGGTGGGGACACCACCACCATGCCTTGTCCCAAGATGTTGTGGGGCAAATGCACCCAACCCTGACCTTCCCTACACTCACACCCAGGCTCCCATTCGGGACAGAGGGCAGCCAACAGTGGTTGCTAGGAAGGGTTGGAGATGGGGAGGCTGGGCAGGGCCCAGGGCACCAGGAGGCACAGGAGCAGCCCCTGGGAACCTGTCCTGGGGACCCAAGCATGAACTGAGGCTCCAAGCCCCTGGCGCATGCTCCATTATCACATTGGACTCTACTGACCAAATATAAAGATAAAATTGCAAATAATTTGAAGACAGTGATTACAGAGTATTAAATTCCAAGCACACGGCCCTTCTGGGCACAAGTGCCTGTGTGACTGTCCTGGTAGCTTGCCCATGAAGCTGGCCCATCTATTTCATAGCGCTGTTCACTTCTCTGGTCTAGAAGCAATGACATCCCAATAGCAATAAGCTTACATTGAAACCAGATCTTGGTTTCTAAATTCCCTAATAGAAGGAAACAGTGCTTCTTGGAGAAATGGCTTATTTCTGGCTTGGTACAGACAATATATAAGGTGAGGCTGGGGCTTCTTATGCCAGAAATTAAGAAAGCACCAAAAGACCAATGGGAACAGTTGAGCATCAAGAGGAATAATGAATGCCTTTGCTTATGATGATTGAATAAATTAAAACCATGAGTATCATGAGTCCATCATGACACTCAAATGAGAGAAAAAACTCATTAGTGATTGGTGATGACTATTATACAAACACTTTATTCTGAAAATTGGCAACCAAAGGAAAGAGTTAAGTGTTTACCCTGACTTTTAAGGAAAAACTTGTTTGTCTCCTTTTGATTCTTCTTTATAGAAGAATGCCAGCTAACAGTTGCAAATGAATTTTTACAGTAGCATCATTTTGGCATCTTCCAAGAATATAATCCATTCAGGCAAGGATCATTAAGGAATGCTAAAACAATTGGGTGACATTGATGGAGGCCGTATACTTATGTGGTATCTAAGTATCACCCCTCAAGTTCCTTTTTAATTACAAAGAGAAAAACTTAGCTTGGTTGTCATGACCTTAACCCTGTGATCATAGTTAACACCACTTACAGTGAGGTAGACTGAGGCTATGTGGTATAATATGATGTGATGCAATATGAAGACCACAGTGTCACCTAGGTAGCATTCTTGCCAAAAATGTTTAACCTGAATCTAATCAAGCCTCTAGACCTAACATCCAGTTTATAGCCTAGTTTACTAGGCTGCCATAACACAGTACCACAAACTGAGTGGTTTAAACAACAGAAATTTATTATCTCACAGTTCTGGAGACTGGAAGTATGAGATTAAGGTGTGGGTAGGGTTGGTTCCTTCTGAGGGCTGTGAGGATCTGTTCCATGCCTCTCTCCTAGCTTCTGATGGTTTGTTGGCAATCTTTCATCTTCCTTGATGTGTAGAAGCATCACCTTGATCTCTGCCTTCATGTTCACATGGTGTTGTCCCTGTGTGCACATCTATCTCCACATTTTTCCTTTTATAAGGACACCAGTCATTTTGGATTAGGGACCCACCCTACTCCAGTATGACCTCATCCTAACTAATTACGTCTACAACGACACTATTTCCAAATAAGGTCATATTCTAAAGCACTGGGGGTTAGGGCCTTATAGAGGAGGAAAAATAAATTTCCCTCTACCTTTCTAGGTTCTTGGCTGAGACCTCCCTGTAATAAAAAGACAGATGAACAGGAGAGAAACAAACAGAAGTTTAAGAACATGTATACTGCCAATTTACATGGGAGAGACCCAGGAAAGCTGAGTAATCCCCCCAAGTGGCTCAAGCCACCACCTTAAATACCATCTCCAGCTAAAGACAAAGACAGATGGGAGGACAGGGGAGGCAGTTATGGTAGGCTACCAGGAAAAGCACAAGGAAAATGAAGTAAAAAAGGGTATGGTTGTTAATGAATATTTGAGTCCGTGCCTTCTCCACTGATAAGAGTTTCCAGAGATTTAGTCATCATCTCTTCCTGGTACAGAGAGGGAGACACCCTTACAAATGGAGACCTCCCTTATAAATGTAAATGTCCCTTACAAAGAGTAACTTCTACTTGGTTTTCAGAGCTTTTCCTATGTCTGCACTTTCTTAAAAAATAATCAACCAAAAATAATCCTTATGCCAAAGGGGCAGATTTTAAGGTGACAAATTCTGCACACCTTCAGCTTCAACATATGATTTCAGGGGACAGACACAATTCAACTCATAACAACAGGAAATCTAGGAGAGAGAAGAACAAGTTAAATATCACCACAAGGAAATAATCAGACAAGTCCAGAATGTGAGACTTCCTATAAAGTCTCTTCAAAAAGATAATGTCATTTATAAAAAGAAGTAGGGGGACTATTCCAAAAAGACTAAAGAAACCAAATGTATGAATTGTGATTGGATCCTGGTTTAAAAAAGAAACTGCTATAAGACATTATGATGGAAATTGGGGTGATTTGACTATGGTCTGGGTATTCTAAGAGTTAAATGATATTATGGAATTACTGTTAATTTTCTTAGGGGTGCTCGTTCTGTGATAGCTATATATGAGAATGAACTTATATTAGGATATGCAGGCTAAAGTGTTTGGGGTGAAGTGTCATGATGTCTCCAATTTACTTTTATTTTTATAATGCAGTCTTTTAGGAATTTTATCATTTTATTTAATTTTTATTTTATATTGGAGAATAGTTGATTTACAATATTGTGTTAGCTTCAGGTGAACAGCAAAGTGATTCAGTTATACATATATCCATTCCTTTTCAGATTCTTTTCCCATATAGGTTATTACAGTAGAGTTCCCAGTGCTATACAGTAGGTCCTTGTTGATTATCTATTTTATATATAGCAGTGTGTGTATGTTAATGTCAAACTCCTAATTTATCCCTCTCCCACCCCCTTTCCACTTTGGTAACCATAAGTTTGTTTTCTATGTCTGTGAGTCTGTTTCTGTTTTGTAAATAAGTTGATTTGTATCATTTTCTTAGACTCTACATATAAGTGATATCATATGGTATTTGTCTCTTTCTGACTTACTTCATTTAGTATGATACTCTCTAGGTCCATCCATGTTGCTGCAAATGGCATTATTTCATTCTTTTTTATGGATGAGTAGTATTCCATTGTATATATATATATACCACATCTTCTTTATCCATCCTCTCTTGATGGACATTTAAGTTGCTTCCATGTCTTGGCTATTATAAATAGTGCTGCTATGAATATTGGGGTGTATGTATCTTTTCGAATTAGTGTTTTTGTCTTTTCTGGGTATATACCCAGGAGTGGGATTGCTGGGTCACATGGTAGTTCTATTTTTAATTTTTTAAGGAACCTCCATACTGTTCTCCATAGTGGCTGTATCAATTTACATTCCCACCAACAGTGCAAGAGGGTTCCCTTTTCTCCACACCCTCTCCAGCATTTATTGTTTGTAGACTTTTTGATGATGGCCATTCTGTCTGGTGTGAGGTGATACCTCATTGTAGTTTTTTTTTTTTTGTGTGGTACGCAGGCCTCTCACTGTTGTGGCCTCTCCCTTTGCGGAGCACAGGCTCCGGAGTGCAGGCCCAGCGGCCATGGCTCACGGGCCCAGCCGCTCCGCGGCATGTGGAATCTTCCCGGACCGGGGCATGAACCTGTGTCCCCTGCGTCGGCAGGCGGGCTCTCAACCACTGCGCCACCAGGGAAGCCCCCTCATTGTAGTTTTGATTTGCATTTCTCTAATAATTAGTGATGTTGAGCATCTTTTCATGTGCTTGTTGGCCATCTGTATATCTTCTTTGGAGAAATGTCTGTTTAGGTCTTCTGCCCATTTTTGGATTGGGTTGTTTGGTTTTTTTTGATATTGAGCTGCATGAACTGTTTGTATATTTTGGAGATTAATTGAGCTGCATGAGCTGTTTGTATATTTTGGAGATTAATCCTTTGTTGGTTGCTTCATTTGCAAATATTTTCTCCCGTTCTGTGTGTTGTCTTTTTGTTTTTTATTTATTTTTAAAAATTTTTATTGGAGTATAGTTGCTTTACAATGTTGTGTTAGTTTCTACTGTACAGCAAAGTGAATCAGCTATATGTATACATATATCCCCTCTTTTTTGGATTTCCTTCCCATTTAGATCACCACAGAGCACTGAGTAGAGTTCCCTGTGCTCTATAGTAGGTTCTCATTAGTTATCTATTTTATACATAGTATCAGTAGTGTATATATGTCAATCCCAATCTCCCAATTCATCCCACCCCCCCCTTT